TTCCCTGATACATTTCTTGGAAAAGCAGCTCAGTATATTAGTCCCTGCTTCTTCACTACTCTGTCAATCCTTAGACCCTGAGAATCTGGTTTATATTTCAACTATTCTGCTAAATGTCTTTCTGCAAGAGAATGAATCTTCAAAACAAATGTGTGTTTCTTCGCCTTCAATTCCTTGGACCTCTCTGTATCCGTCAGTGCTGAGAAACTCTTCCTTGGCTTGCCCGATGTCATATTGCTCAAGTTTTCCTCTTAATTCTGTAGCTGTCTCTTCCTGGTCTTTTTTTTTTTTTTTTGTAATTCCTTTTCCTGCCTCCTAAAACACATAGATGTGCGTGTCTCCAAGCCTGTTCCCCACCATCGTGGGCTCCTCTCTGTGTGAGCGCCGTGTCTCGCTGGCCTGGCGGGTAGCCGCTCGAAGGCGGGGGCACCAGCCCCTAGTTCTTTAGCACGCTCAGCGCAGCAGCTTGCCCAGAGCTGCCCGGAAAGCATCTGTGACCGAACTGACCACAGGCAAGCGACAGATTAAACTGAATAAACAGATGTCAGCCCTATAAAAGGAATCACCAAACCTGTAAAAACCAATGAGCTTGTCCAAGCCAGTGAATAGGCAGAGGAGCAGATTGCCTCAGAAATGAGCAGTAAATGCAGGCAGAATTTTTTGAGTTCTGAGTTTTTATACATTTTCTTTCTTGTAATGATACAAATGGTTAGAGGATAAAGGGCATCACAGGGAGGAGCAAGGGAACTAATTTGTCTCTAATACTGATAGTTTTTAAATGTATAGTATTATACTACAAGGACTATTTTATACATATAGTCACATATGGATAGTTGGCACTATTTTATATATATTTAATTAAGTATTAGACTAAAATTTTATAAAAATATATAATATATAATAAATATATTTATATAAATTTATATAATATATAATTAATGTATAATTATATATTATTAATTATATATTTTTATTAAATTGTATTTATATTTAAATTAATTACATATTTTTATTAAATTATATACATATAATTTTTTTACAGTAAGACAGATAGAGTTCCCAGATAATTCACTCCCATCCCTGAATTCAGAAGCGATTCTGTGCTTCCTTTCGTGTCATCTGGACCAAAATAGAAATGAGTCAAATCCTGATGACCAGCGGCCTGCTGCCCCAGTCACAAGGTGTAACGTGAGCTCTACACTTAAACCAGAAATTGCGGAAGAAGGCGCTGGCCTCAGTGACCCTACATTTAATCTCTTGTCCACCAAACCTGACTTATTTCCAGTCCAGTCCTAGTAAAAAGCCCCAAGCTGCCTCACCTTGAAGTATCAGGCAAAGTATGAAGCCCCGCCTCAGGAGCCCTGTGGATGGTTAAGGGCAGCACCCCTCATCTGGGAGCGCGGCGCTTCCGCAGAGCAGGTGTGCGGCCCACTGTGGCCAGGGCGTTAGTCCTAGAACGTGTGCCCTCGGGCTGGGCTGGACTTCCGGGGGACACGTCCCCAGCTGTGCACTCCGCCTCTGTCCACCCAGTGGGTTTCTAGCTTGGCCACTGTCAGGGGTGTGGGAAATAGGGTCTTTTGCAGTGACATGTGCCTCCAGTGTGTTGTCCAGCCTCTGCCACAGCTTAGCCAGAATGGAAGTAATTTAGCTTAAAAATTGTTAACTCTTTGTATTTGTGAAACATGAGCCCCTTAGTCTCCCAAAATCTCCATTTTTTTTGTGCTTGGAAAAATTAAAGAAATAGAATAAGTAATCCAAGAATCTTGAAGCTACTTAAACATTGCAGTCCTAGGAATTAGAACCATTACGTCCATGATCCTTTTTTTTGTGATGATGACGATTTTTGTTCTTTCTTGTTCACCGTGTCACTCCCTCCATCATGCTGCCTCGCTGCGACCCCCTTGCTGGTGTTTGTTTTCTGTGGGCCTGGGCTTCGGCCAGGGCTGGCACCCTAGCTGTAGGCTCAGAATTCTACCACCTTAGGGGGAAGATGCCATCTGGGTGCAGGGCACTGTGCCTTCACCGGCATCCAGAGCCCAGGCAAACAGAAGAAATGTGAATGTGATGATCTGATGTAGCTAACAAGGTAACATCCAGAATTACCTAGACATTAAAAGAAAAAATCGCAGTGATCTATTCATCTCTGGCCCTTTCCACACTGACCGGCAGAGTCTGCGGCTGGTACAGCTAATTAATGTGAGCATCGGCAACCAGAACATAAGCCACTTCCCAGAGTTCTTCTGCCTTCGCGAGCCTGGCCAGCTCCCTCCAGTCTACCCTCTTCTGTCCCAAACAACCAGATGTAAAGCATCCTGGAACCTAAAAATTGCGTCCAAGTTGCTGTCAGTAACCACATTATTCTCTAGAATTACGGCAGAAGAAGTGTTTGCCACTTCCTGCCTTGTCTGGCTGACTCACCATTGGCAGTGAGTAGGAGAGGTTGGTAAATACCTTGAAAGTTCTGACTTCTGGTTTTAAAAATTGAAAGAGGTAAGCTCAGTGTCGTAAAGGATTGAGCCAGGAATCCAGCCTCATTGTTTCAGTCCTATGATCCTCTGATAATTCTGGAATTAAGGAGAGACACTTAGTATTGTACCAACCTCAGTAAGTGCCTGGGTTTTTACTGGTCTCAGTGCTTGTCTAATGCCTCATCCATCTCTGTCCCTTCCCCACCCCCCTGCCCCCAGCTGTGACAGCCATATTGCAGAATGTGACTCTGTCCCCTGTCCTCTTCCTGCAGACACAAAGGACATGAGTGAATTCGAGACTGAAGGCTTCTTTGCTCTGCACCACCGCCGAGGAGCCATCAAGCAGGCCAAAGTGCACCACGTCAAGTGCCATGAGTTCACTGCCACCTTTTTCCCACAGCCCACGTTTTGCTCCGTCTGCCACGAGTTTGTGTGGTACGGTAATGACCTTTCACGCCAAGCTTCAGGTTATGCATCTTGTCACATCTACTTAATCTGCCAGGCCCAGCGTGTTCCGTCCGCCTTGGCAGAGTGTGCCGGAATAGGTGGTACCTGAGAGTTTCCAGTGGCCTCACCTGGACTGCGAAGGCTTATAGAGAAAACATAGAATATTTCCATAACGTGGCTTCTGTGGAGTGAGGCAGTCAGCTCCCTTAGGGAAAGGTTCCAAGGACTTCCGTTTCTCATGGGGGTGAGTGGGAGGGACGGAAGAGGGAGATGCTGCTCTCGTAAGCACAGTTCTCCAGTCGAAACGGCCACCACCCGGACAGCCCAGCTGCGCTGGGACTAATGTCTGCAAAAGGCAACACTTTCCCGTTGGAAATGATGGGTTTAGATGTTTACAAGGCTCTTGGGTGTCTTAACAGCCTTCAGACAGAGTCCAGCGTCAGTAACCACACAGCGAGGGCGATGGGAGAAAGGACCCTTGACACGACTCCTGTCTCTGGTCTCAGCCTCCCCGCCTCCTAGGGGGCGTTCCTCCCTTTGGGCTCATGCAGACTCCATTAATGCCCACCCCCAGCTCGGCCAGGGAAGCCAAAGGTCAGAGAGCCTTCTGGTGGCTTTCCATCAACTTTTCACCCAGCGGCTTGAATCTCCTTCCTTCCTAATAGTGAGTGTTACCCAGGACTCAGTCTTAAGCTTGAGAATTTATTAGTTGCAAATATTGTCAGATAGTCAGAAAGAGGAGACAACATGTTACGCAGATATCTTTGCTAATCTATGCTGAGATTAGTGAGACATTGATGTTTTAAGCACAGACATGGAAATTTGCTACCAGGAGCCTGTGATCCGTTTTTGGTTGGTCGTGTTCATTGCTACACATTTGTGTGGAGACTGTGCAAGTGACAAGGAAATCAGTAATTTCTCAATTACTTGTCAGACTTTTAACAAAGCATTTTAAAACAAAAAACACGTGGAGTGTGGGGTACAGCTCAAGGGTAGAGCGCATGTTTAGCACGCATGTGGTCCTGGGTTCAATGCCCAGTACCTCCATTAACCAATGAATGAATGAATAACACATATTAAAACTTCTGGCAAATAGTAGACCCCAGGGGTGCTGATCAGAAAACGCTCTGTGCTAGTAGAAGCCATGAGATCTCGTTCATCTTTTAAATGTTTTGGGTACTGCTGTTGACTCAAACATCCATGTAAATATTCAAACATGTGCTTTATTGCAGGGGTCTGAACAAACAGGGCTACCAGTGTCGACGTAAGTGAGCAGTGCTGTCATATTATCATCATTCTTTTCTTTGGGTCGTTCCTTAACTTCTGAAAATCTCAAGCTGTCATCTTTTCTTTTCCTTTCAGAATGCAACGCAGCCATTCACAAGAAGTGTATCGACAAAGTTATAGCGAAGTGCACAGGGTCAGCCGTCAACAGCCGGGAAACCATGGTACGGGGTCTAGACGCCTGTCTAAAACACGATGGTTTTATCCTGACGTTAAATTTTACAGCCCACTGATTCTCGTTAATAATGCCTGAATCTGAATCCTTAATTTTTTCAATGGACATCAGTCTCCTTAAAACCCTGTCCTCTTCAATGATAATCGTTTCTGAGATCCAAAACTAGAGGATGAATAAGAAAGGCAAAAGAAGAATTTTAATGACTCTGCCTTTTCCAGGAACACGTAATAGAAAGTGGCCAGAAACATAGTTTTGATCAATTATATGAGGACAACTCCTGTGGCATCTGACAGTTAAAGAGTGGAGGCAACGGGTTATAAAATAAGAGCGTTTACAAGGGATGGTAACAGAAGTATCATTCTTACGTTGAGATGCAAGTATTTCTTGCAGAATGAACTCCGAGCTGTATCATCTGGGGACAAGCTAGACTTCACTCTGTGGGGGAGGGAGGCGGAGCTGGAAAGTCAGGCTGATTTCTTTCTCCCACCCTTTCCTTCTTGGTTCAGCAAACATCTGCTGTGTATCAGAATACATGGATACCCTACTAGGTACAATGTATTGCAGAGCACAAAACAGACCTGGTCCTGCCTCCATGGACTTTACCATGAAGTTGGAGAAATGGATAATTAACCAATGGCTGCGTATAGTTTCCACTTACACTGAGTGCTATGAAAATAGCCAACAGGGTGTGAGGATGGAAAATCACTGAGTGACCTCCTTACACTGAAGGTCAGGGGATCTCCCAAGGGAGGAGGCATGTAGGCTGAGAGCTGGAAGTGACAGGAGCCCGCTCTGTGAACAGCAGGGGGAAGGAGCCCCCACACAGACAGGGCCCGAGGGGAGGAGCCCACCGTGTCCAGGAAATGAAATGAGTTGACATGGCCAGAGCAGCAAGGACAAGAGAGAACGAAACACGAAGTTGGGGACTTGACAGGACCTAGACCGGGCGGGGATCTTTTAGCCCCTGGTTGCATTTTATGTAACTGGTAGTGAGAAGTTGCTTTGTGACGGCTGTAGGGAAATGGTGGGTGGGGATGTGAAAGTGAAACTGGCGGGGACTGACGGAGTCCCACCAGGGTGGGAGGTTGGTGGTTCGCACCAAGGTGGTGATAGTGGAGATGGGGCCAAGTGAGCAGAGCTCCGGGTGATCTCAGTGTTAGAAATGGCTGGCTGTGCTGATGGATTGGATGTGGAGAGTGATACGGATGATGGCCAGGTTTCTGTCTTGAGTGGTGGGGTAGAGAGCAGAGCTACGACAATGTGAATAAGACGGGAAGGAGAGAGCTGGAGGGAGGAATTCCTATCTCAGTTTTGGACAAGGTCAGTCTGAGATGCCTATGGACATCCAGGCGGAGGTACCAACTGGACAATTTTATATGCGCTTGGAATTTACATGAGCCAATGGACCAAATCTGTTCCTTTGGGAGTGACTATCATACAGGTGGAATTTAAAGCTGCCAGAGAGATTACCTAGTGAGAGGGAAGGGAGAGAAGAGGGCTCAGGGCTGACCCCAGAGGAATCTAAAATTAGCTGTTAGGTATGAGAGAAGGAGCTTGGGGTAGACTGAGAACAAGGGTTCGGAGAGTCCTCTTCACACACCAAGAGTGAGTGAAGTTACAGAAGCCTGAGAGAGGAGGAGGGTGTGTGTTCAGTGCAGCTGACATGCAGAGAAAAGGGAGGGCCACGTGGAGCTCTTTGGAGCCCTCCATCTGAGGAGCTTCAAAGGCTTGTAGAGGTGTTCAGCCCACTGGCCAGCACTAAGAGTTCCTGGAAGGTGATGACATGGAAGCAGCCTATGCATCAAAATTATCAAGAAGATCAGCCAGGAAGGAGATCCCTGGAGTTGAACAGTAGCTGGAAGGAGATGAAACACGAGGGACAGAAATTCTCCCATCGCTCGGGAAAGACGAGTGTTGGATGAAGCTGGAGAGAGAGGGGCCGTCAAAGCAGTCAATCTTGGCGAGAGGGGAAGAGGTCCAAAGCCACGTGGAGGCGAGTCTCTGATGGGACAGGGAGGGGCTAGGACCACATGATCGCAGAAGAAGGCAGGTTTGTAGGTTTGGGGTGGACAGGTGAAGGAGCTTCTCTTGGGTGGCCTCAGTCCTCAGTGAAGTCTGAGGACTGGGGGAAGAAGAAGGCAACCAGTGGCTTTCAGGAGGAAGGAGGGTCTGTAAAGCCATTATCTGAGAGATGGGAAAGAAGGGACTGGAGAAAGGCGGTGGGAGTGCGGAGCGGTCGTAAGTCCATTCGAGTCTGAGGGCATCTGCCTGCCCAGGTGTGTGATTTCTCCAGCAAAGGGGCAAAGAGAAGCAAAGTGGCTGAGTCTTTCCAGAGTAGAATTTCTTTTAAAACTGAGAGCCAGAAGGGGATAATCTCATATTGCAAGTGACTCTGCTAAGGTTCAGAGAGGTGAATGTAGTTTGTCCAGGGTCAGCCGCATCTAAGTGGCAGAGCTGGGGCTAGAATTCAGATCTCAGTCTCACAAGCCGATGTTTCTGTTTGTTTAAATCAAATTGCCACTTTCCAACCCACCCTCCTGCTCCCCTTTCCTTGATGCCTTCAGCTTTCCTGGGAAGATCACAAATTGTAAGCGTGACTGTTAACTTCGATGGCTAATGTCCAATAAAAGTAGGATGAGTCACAAGTGTTCTAAACTTTTAAGGAGCCACATTAAAAAAGCAGGAAGCAACAGGTGGAATTAATCTTAATGATATACTTTAACCCAGTCTGCCCAAATGTTATCATTTCAATATATGATCAATATAAAAATTGAGAGATTTTACATTATTTTTTATATGACTTCTCCAAGTCCAGTGTGTATTTAGCATGCACAGCACACCTTTTCACCACGTTGTGACTGTCGTGTTGGAAAGTACAGATATCTCGTCTTTCCCAGATGCACCTTGAACCATTTGGGCTTGGGTTCAAGCTTTGACGTAGAAGTCATCCAGTCTGGACCTTGTCTATTTTTACATGAAAACGTTTACACAAAATAAGAATTCTGAAAGTTATTTTTTGGTTGAAAATGTCTCGAGTAAGTGCTGGGTGACTTTCAAGCCATTTGAAACTCATTCTAAAGACCCAGTCTTGCCCAGTATCCACAGCGGGAACATGTGCCACTTCCGTGAATAAGGCAGCTTTACTACGCATGTTCTCAAACAAATTGTTTAATTAGAAACTTCTATGGAGATGCAAAGTCTCAAGTAAGTATACTGTATTCTTGTATACTGCACAAGAATATTGGTATTCTGACCAGGAATCAAAGTGCCTGATTTGTCGTTGTTCGTGTAATAAGTTCGATTAAAGGAGAGAAGGTAGACTCTGGAACACTGTAAGAAAAAATCTGCCTATATCTACTGCCAGCATCCCTTGGTCCTCTTCCCTCTCCCCACTCGCTAAATGACCACATTTATTTTGAGAGGGAAGAGGGGTGCTGTAAGAGGATGCACTCAGAGTCTGACTTCCAGGTCCAGAGATACCTTAGCTCAGTCAATGGCTGTGTGTCCTAGAGAAGCGTCTTGCCCTCTCTGTGCTCAATCTCCTCATCTATCAAATCAGGATACTAACAGAGGCTACTTCACATGAGGTGTTCTGAGGATTATATGCGCTATCACACGCGTAAAAGGTTAACACATGTGACATATTTGTCCGCAGCCCCTGTACCTATTGTTCAGGTACAGTGGGTGTGAAAATGGTTTATTCTTTGGGCTCCCGCACTAACAAACCCGAAGCGATGTTCCCTCTGCAGGAGGCATCATGTTACATCTTCCAAAGATTAAAGCTCGAGGTCAAAAGAGAAAAGGATATATTACACTGAAACAGGAAAGGGAGTACGTTTACTTAGTGCCCATTTAAATAAATAACCCTGGCCTCCTCTTCCTGAAACGTTAGCCTGTCTGTGCGAATGCCTCGGACTTCAGCGGTGTCCGGGTCACTCGACAGGTGTACATCGCACCCTTGCCCTTGACCTAGAAGAGCTCATGGCTCCCCGCCTTCTTTGAACATGACTCGAAGGTTTGACAAGTAAAAATTATGGTTTACAACACACATCGTTGCAATGTCTCTATTATTTTGTTAATTGTGCTAAAATATCTGCTACAGCATGAAAAGTCGGGGACCCAGGGGCGTGCCTGCTGTGACACACTCTCCTCCTCTTTCAGTTCCATAAGGAGAGGTTCAAAATCGACATGCCGCATAGATTTAAGGTCTACAATTACAAGAGCCCAACCTTCTGCGAGCACTGTGGGACCCTGCTGTGGGGCCTGGCCAGGCAAGGACTCAAGTGTGACGGTGAGTCCCAGGGAAATGAGCTCACCCCAACCCCGTGGAACCCCTCAACTGGTGGAGGGGACGAGGTTGAGAGGGAGGATGGGGACCAGATGACTGACTTCTCCAGCCAGCCCGGAAGAGCCCCGTGCTTGTGAATGAGAACTTCCCAGACAATAATCCACTGTCATCTTTTCCTCCACCCTCACCAGCCCATTCCTGTATCCCAGATGAGTGCACAATTGATCAGGTCCAACGTCAAGGCTCCTGGCCTGTTGCCCTCTCTTGTACCTGGTCCCTGGGAGAAAGAAGGCAGCATCTGCCCCTGACTGGTCCTGTTCACTGGACCTGCCCCCGTCCCTCTCCTTTGCACCAGCGAGTATGAGTCTGTCTGTGGCTCCATTAACGAGCAAGCCTCTATGTCTGCTTGGCTGGTGGGAAGTCCTGCACAGAATTCCACGACTCAGGCTGCAGAGCGTGTCCCCAGAGGGTGCTGTGAACTCCAAACACACAGTAAGAGGCTCTGACTCTGATCGCTCCCTCCAGGCAACCTGACAGCAGAGCCCACGCCTCCGCGCTTCACGCATTGAGTTATTCAACCCGACCTGGAGAAGAAGCAAAAAAGAGCTTGCTTGCTCTAAAAATCCAGGTTGCTAAGGCAATAACCTTTAGAAACTGAGCTGCTGTTACACCAGGACTAGGGGGTCGGGACTGAAAACTAACCAGAACAGACAAAACACTTCTGCTTTTTTGAGTGAGGGTGAGCGGCCAGGTCACATATTCAAAACAGACGTGTCCTGCTCTGCAGGGACCTTTTTATTTAACATTGTTAAACATAGAAGCCACTTTATATTTTCGTGTCGGCCCCATTTTAATGTGTGCCTCCCAGCGGATGCATGTCTTATCTCCTAAGTGACGGCTGGAGGAGGAAGGCCACCTCTAGCAGCACCTCGTCCCCATCCCAGCGGCATCCACGTGTCTGGTGGAGCCTGGAGTGACATCTTGTTGGAGGCAGGTCGGGTTAGGTTTCACATCATTCCTGAAGGCAAACCCACATGTAGTCAAAGTTCACCTTAACGATCCCTCGATAGCACCACGGCCGCGCTCTCTCCTCTGCACCTGTATGAGAGGGCATGGCGTTGAAGAGACTATATTCGCATTCCCAGGCGAGAGGGCGTCTCGGAGGGTTCTGGTTGGACAGAGACAGGACAGGAATAATCCAGTCCCCTTCTGACGGCGCCTCCAATCCCACGATGGTCTCAGCGGTCTCACGGTTCAGATGTTCTTTCCCCGGAGCCTGGGCGCCCCACCTGCAGCGGCCAGGCTGGTCCCAACAGTGTGATTATGCCTCTGAGCTTAGAACTTCCACGAGCATTCCTTGGCATTGTTTCCCGGCCCCCCACGCCCTGCTCTGTTCTGTCTTTTTCTAACATTCTTTCTTCTCCGTTCCCTTCTCTTCCCTCAGTCCTCATCCTCCTGCATCTCACATCTCCCCTCCCTCCTCCTCCCCTCCCTTTCCTTCCCTGAGCCACTCTCTGTTCCTCCTGTAAACCCCGCGGGGCGGGTCTCCTCACCCCCCACCCCCATGCCCTTGTCTGCCTCTCCGCCTCTCTTCTTCTTGCTCTCCTATAAGCCTCCTTCGTAACTAGGGCCCCTCCATCCTGACCCTGTCTTCTTTCTCTCTCCACTAAAATTCACATGAAATTAGTCATCAGAAGGGACTGTTTGCACTCACCGAGACTGAGTTATCACCTGCTAGGTTAGTAAGAGACTTAGCGACGTTCTCCTAGTGGGCACGGGCCTGCCTTCTCCAGGAGGAGCTTAGCTCTGCTACAGTTTTAAAGAGCAAGGTGCTAACCCCTCACTCTGACCCCACAGGTGATGCTAACCCCACGGGTCCAAGTATGAGTGGCGCAAACAGTGCAGAATTCAGAGGGGAGAAGTCACTATAAGCAGTTTCTTTATTACATTAAAATAGATTTCATTCCAGATGGATTTTTATGACTTCATGCACATATAGTGGGACAAGTGACAGTTTATACTTATTTATGTAGAAAATGCTGTTTTCTTGTTTTTATTATGAACCATTTATCTAGTTTAAAGGCGAAGACTGCTAAAATTTCACCTAAAATATTTCAATGAGATTTTATCCTAACGAATTAATAGATGAAAGCAAGTTGTATTTGGCGAGCACCTAGTTGAGAGTCACCACTGTGCCAAGTTTTTTGAACACACATGGGCTGATAATACGGTAAGAAGATCCAAAGAGCGTGATTTTATCGTTTCTCCTGCCTAATTCCGCTCTAACAGCCCCTGCCGATAGACCTTTATAGAATCAAGTAGGACATGAGGTCGGGGTTCTAGCCGCCGGTGTTTGGACATCTTTGTTAGTTTTTTTCTTTTGTCATAACGGTGATGTTTCATAAGCCAGAATTTGAATTTTCTAAGACTGACAACATGAAGCAAGAATTGTCTTGGCGCAGACACACAGGTGCACACCCTCCCCATACAGGAGGGTTCCCACGGTCGGAGTGGGTGGAGCGAAGACCTTCCTCGTGCTGTTTTCAGGACTAAGGAGTCAGAACCCTCCTTCAGAATGGGGAGGGGGTGTCTCAGAGTTAGAAGCCGCTACAGGTCATATAGTCAAACAGCCCAGCTCCCCCGGGTGGTGAGAACGTGGTCTCCAGACCGCTCTCCCTCCGCCCACCCCAGCCCCCGCACGTATACGGGGACCACCCCGCCGTCTCTTTTCCAGCTCTCAGGCTGAGCAGCAGCCTGGGCTCAGTCTGGAGGGTAAAGGAGCCCCTGGCCGCCCACGTGGGACAGGGGATGCCTGGGTTCCTGGCTAGCGAGGGAGTAATGACCTTGCACCCCCGCATTTCACGTCACTACCAGCTAATCTGGAATCAGCTCTGGAATGAGGGCCAAACTCATCTGTTTATTCTCAGCGATGGCGCAGTCTAAACGTGTTCCGGCAGCAACCTCCCTCCCCCGTCAGCGAGGCTCTGGTCCCGCCTGGGGGGGAGTCATTTCCAGCATCACACCAAGGAGCACCTGGGGGTGGGGGTGTGGGTGTGGGTGTGTGCGCGCATGTGTGTGTTGGGGAAGGGAAGATGGACGCACAGGGACATTGTAGAAGCACTGCCCCCACTTATTCGTCTCCAGCGTCTCCCTCTGCTGAGCGGACGGCGCGGGGACTGGCCGGTTACTCCCCTGACGCACAGGCACCTACGACAGACCACGCGGAAGTCAGTCCTGTCGCTCTTGCTCAAGGTGTTGCTTCCTTCCTTTCAGCATGTGGCATGAACGTACATCACAGGTGCCAGACAAAGGTGGCCAACCTTTGTGGCATAAACCAGAAGCTAATGGCTGAAGCGCTGGCGATGATCGAGAGCACTCAGCAGGTAGGAAAGGCTTTCTAGGTGACAAGTTCCTGCAGTTTCAACTCAACAAGGACTGTCCCAGGCCCTCTGTTTTTTCTGACTGTAGCAGCCCTACTGGACAAGGTGCGGTCTGTTTCTGAGCACTTGCCTTGACCCTGACTTCCATCCTGGTGCCCTAATCCCCACCCCCGTGATACTTAATTAATGCATTTGTATTGTGTGGATCTTTATAAGATCTTAAATTCTTCATGGACTGAGCAGGGGTAGAAACATACTGAGGATGTATTGCCAGCTTTCTACCTATATACGAGGGTTATCTAATAGCCGGGGGTGGCGGGGGAACATTTATTTGCTGGAATCATCCTGAGAATCATCCTCAGAACAGAGTCCACGGCAGCTTTTGCCTTGCCGCTTAGTACCGTGCTGAAGCCTCACATCCGAGAACAAACCCTCTCTAAGACTAAGCATTGCCTGTGCAAGCTAGTTCCCCTCCCGTCGGTCTTCAAATGATGGCCAAATGATGCAGATGGCATGAAAGAAGTCAGGTAGCCCCCCGGAGAAGTATGAAGGAGCAAACACGCTCTGCTGGTGCATGAAATATGGCAGACATTCCTAGGATGTGGGGACCTGAGAGTTCCGAGGGACGGGAGAGCTGCGTTATCCTGTGCACTTAGGATCTTCAGGGGCTTCCCGCCCTCAGATGGCAGGCGGAGCTGTCCTGTCAGTGCCTGGTGGTCTCACTCTTTATTTGTAACCTAGGCTCGCTGCTTGAGAGATTCTGAACACATCTTCAGAGAAGGTCCTGTCGAAATTGGTCTCCCGTGCTCCATAAAAGATGAAGCGAGGCTGCCGTACGTTCCAGCTCCGGGGAGAAGAGGTACGTGCTTTCCTGCCCCGGGGCAGGGTCGTGGTCCGGAGCGAAGCCTGGTAGGCCTGAGTCCTCTGGGTTTAGATTCTCCATTTACCTGGCCCGGTAAATGATTCATTGCTATTTAGAGATTACAGATCTAGCCACCAACTTAAGAGGTTCCCACTTCTTAGGAGTGAAGCCTTTGTGGGGGGGTGGGGGGGAGGGGAAAGTGGAATGGCCTGGAGGAAGCAACGGCAGACCTTTCCTTAGGGCTGTAGTGTCCTTTCCTGCCACGGTTAAGCGGTTTTACAGGAACAAATCCACCATGAGGGTGGGAACACCCCAGCCCATCGTATTCTGCACCTTTGAGGCTTCTCTGGGACGTTTAAGATTAGGAGGAGGAAGAAAAGCCTGGCATCCTTAACATTTATGACGTGATGGAAGTCCATCCAGGCCACTGTTCCAGAGTCCTTCATGGGAAGATGTGACCATGTGGTTCTGGCACCTGGGTAGTTTCAGCTTCATTATAAAGTACTTCTTTTCCTGGGACTTACGGAGAATGTGAAAGACAAAAACCAAGAGACTGGGAAATAAATGTCTTTATTCCAACCACAAAAGAGAAATGCTATGTGCTGTGACAGAGGTGTTAACTGTCTAGTGGCATCACGGCGTATAAATGTATCACTCAGCAGGTTATGCACCTTAAATTGGCACAATGTGGTATGTCAAGTATATTTCATTTTTTTAAAAAAGAACCGTTATAAGGGAGTGGGAGGAAGGTTCCAAAAAAAGTTTTTCTGCACTTCCTGTGGCATGGGGTGAGGAATAAACTGACTGAAAAAAATTTTTAAAGAAAGGTTTAGATTAGATTTGGAAAGCTGCTCCAGGCAGAGAAGTAGACTGTGTCTCAGGGATGATCAGAGTAGGCAGTGTCTTGACTTGAAGCCTGTGGTGAAGGATGCGACTTGGATCTTCACTGACCTGCTGTCTGTTACTTCTTCCCCCACGTGGTAAGTCACAGAACTTGACACCATGGTGCCTGCGAGCCATGCAAGCAGGAAAGAATCATTTTCCCTCAAATTTGGTTAAAATTCCTCTTTGCCCATGATCTGACATTATTAAAAAGTGCCCATTCCTGTTGCACACGTGGCCTTGCGCTGACTGGAATGCTTCCTAACTTGAACATTTTCCGGGTCTATTGCAAAAAGAGACACGGTCCCCACACCACATACCCCGCGCCAGGCTCACAGGCGGGAGGTGATGCCTTTGCACCGCAGGAACCTCCTTCTTCACTTTTGTGAACAGAGCTTCAGAGTGGGACGTGGAAAGGAAAGCGTGTTCTCCAGGCAGCTAGAACGACCCTCCACGGTTCCTTCTTTCCTTTTAACCGCTGGCTTGCCATTTCCAGAGCCTCAGGGAATCTCCTGGGAGTCGCCCTTGGATGAGGTGGAGAAGGCGTGCCACCGTCCAGAACCTGGACTGAACAGAGAAAGACCATCTCTACATATGAAGTTAAAAATCGAGGACTTCATCTTGCACAAGATGCTGGGGAAAGGAAGTTTTGGCAAGGTAGGATCTGCGTGTAGGAGTCTGCGGACCAACTTCCAGAAATTGCAGAGCAAACTTTTGGCCAGTGGAACTAGGGGACCGGTGGGACCAAATCCATGTATGCGTGTGCAGAGGGCATTCCTGGTCAGGAACTTTTATGTTATGTTATGTTATGTTATGTTATATTATATTATATTATATTATACTTACTATATTATTTTATACGTGTTAGAAGACAGAGAGGTGTATGAATAGGGGCCCGGAGGCCCTAGGAAGTCAGCCCCTGCTGCCGGGGAATCAGGGTTCTCAGGTCAGGTGTCCATCCCACGAGATGACGAGTTTGCTATCTTTAGACACCAAAGAAATGAGGTGCCTCGGCCAGTTCCTCTTTCACAGAGATATTTTTGTTTCATTGGTGTTTTTTGTTGTTGTTTTGCTCCCTTCTCAAAGCTGGGTGTGGTTTTACTTTCTGTGTGATTTTTCTTCCCTCCCGAGTGTCCTCAGCCTCGTAGTCGCTGGCTGGGACCACCGTGTCCCAGTACTGCAGACCGAGGGGCTTCCACAGTGGGAATGTGTTTCTCCCAGCTCTGGAGGCTGGAAGTCAGAGACCGAGACGTGGACAGGGCTGTTTCTGCCGAGGCCCCTCTCCTGGGCTTGTGAGCTCTGTCTCCTCCCCGTGTCCTCGCATGGTCGTCCCTCCGCATCTTTCACGATCTCCTGTTCCTATAAGGACACCAGCCCTATTTTGGACTGGGACCCACACTGATGACCTCGTTTTAACATAACTACCTTGTGAATAGACCCTGCCTCCAAATATGGTCACACTCTGAGGTGCTGGGGGGTTAGGATTTTAACATAGGATTTATTTGGAAAGGACGCAATTCAGCCCATAATACGACTGTAGCTTGAGCCCTGGGAAAAGGTTCATGGAGAAGGTCCTTCCTCTCAATTATTCCTGCCACTCACTCAAGTCATGGCTGGCAGTCAGTCACAGAGGGTGGGGAGAGGACAGGGAAGAAGAAGACATAATCTGAGAAATAATAACCAGCTATTGGTGACCAGAGAATATTTTCAAGCCAGTGACTGTAAAGAGGGGTGTCATGGAATATAACTTTAAGGTTATTGGCTAATAAGGCTCAGTATTCATGGGAACCTCTGTCGTCTTATATCCTTGGTAGCCACTCTTAGGAGAATTTGAGCTGGAAACTGCTGGTCCTGAAGAATTTGTTCAGTCAAGGCCAGTGTTATGCTCAGCACCTGCTCACCAGACCTTGGCTGCAAAACTTACCTGGTTTACTCAATAATAAACAAGCAAACTTGCAACCGGGCATTGCCACGGTTGAGTGACACTGTGCTGCAGTTGGGGTTTGGATTTAAATACCAAGGCATCGCCTTTGGCAAAATCCACTCGGCCCTGCAGGCCGTAGCTGGTATCTGTTAGCTCATTTCGTTCGTTTCCACAGTGACACGAACCACGGCAGGCGCATTTGGTGTTAATCTGAGTGTAATAGGCAATTTTACAGCCAGTCTTCATTAAAATTTAGCATCAATTAATGTGCGATTATAACCTGTTACCAAAAATTGAAAGCACATTACAGAGATGGAAATTGCCTTTTCAGCTTCTTAGTTTATGGCTGGTCTGGGGATATTTTATTGAAAGAAGCAATTACCGAAAGAGGACTTCTAATTGTTACTGAAATGTTTGTCTTTGTTCCCGTGCGGATTTCTCCATTTCAGCAAGGTTAATAAGGCATTAAGTTAAACCTGTATGCCTTAGCAGATAACCCGAGGGACAGCTGAGAGCCCCACGTACCCTGTGCTCTACGCCCAAAGCAGTCAGCGCCTCGCCATCAGAACCCCAGGTCCCTGTACTCCCAGGGGGCTGCACGGGGGCCCAAGGAGATGGGGGTGACACACCGAAGCAGAATAGGGCAGCCACATTTCCTTTTCTCACAGCACCAAAGATACTCCAACGCTTGTTTTTCTTCTTTGTTTTCACTCTACATGGGAAGTATGGTTCCTCGCCAATATGGCAGCCTCTGTGTTCTGGATCTGCGTTGATTTTGAGGCCCAGGAGAACAAACTGCATGTTCTTCTGGAGATACGCGCGTCACTTGTTTGCCTGAATTCTCATCTGAGCTTTAGCCCCTCTGTCGAGCCAACCACCCCAAAGCTCCGTGTCCACCCTGCATTATTTTAAGCATAGACATGTGCGTTTTCACTACTGGTGTAGCGTCACTGACTTCAACGTTCCCTAGAAGTCACTAAAAGAAACAAGTGACAAGGGTTTGTTGTTTCTTTTGAGTAGAGTTGATTTATAATATTTAGTTTCAAATGTACAACATAGCGATTCAATAGTTTTACAGATTACACTCTATTAAAGGATATTACAAAATAGCTATATTTCCCTGTGCTGTACAATAGAATCCTTTGCTTATTTATTTTATACATAATAATTTGTTCTTCTTAATCCCCTCCCCCATCTTGCCCCTCCCCGCTTCCCCTCTCCCCACTGCTAACCGCTGGTTTGTTCTCTATGAGTCTGTTTCTGTTTTGTTATATAAATTCATTTCATTTCTTAGATTCCAACCACTGTCATTTAGAAAGCATTCTGTAGTTTGCAAATCACTTCCCTTTTGATTTTCACAGCAGTCCTGTAAGTTAGCAACGCAGTGAGAGTTAACCCTTTTACACGTTAGGAAACTGAAGCCCCAGGAAGGCTAGTTTGTTTGCCCACATTCCCACAGCTAGTAAAGCATCTGCAAAATGAGGCCTGAGCTGGAGCTTCCTGTCTCCAAATGCCACGTCTTCGCTGCTGTCAATTGTCTGTTGCTGCATCATTTGCAAGAGTGAAAGCTGGAGAAACTCTCCATTATGTGCCATCTGGTGTTCTTGAAAGCAAGGGGCAAAAGTAAACTTTGGAGTCAGATTTTCCGCTGAGTAGCTCCATGAATTTGAAGAAGTTAAGTTACCCTTTGAGCCTAGTTTTTTTTTTTAATTACGATCTGTCTTGCAGAGTGTTCTGAGCTAAGAATTAAACAGACAATAAAATCTGCACACAGCAGAATGTCTGGCACATAGTAGGTCCTGAAGATGGTACTGGTGTCTGTACCATCAGAGGAAATGCGATGCAGTCTTTAAGCACACCAGGACATCTCTGTTCCTCACACATTCTTTTTTGCCTTGAAAAAGTGGGTAAAACTTGGAGTAAGGTTGTACGCTCATTTTCAGTGATATTTCAAGAGCAGTCAAGTCCTCCTTTCCACTACTTGCTGCTGCTTCCTTCAGTGCACATTTGTCTCTGTGAATTTTTAAATAAACGTACTCAGGTCCCTGGGCAGACAGGGCACACTTTTTTTAGACAGAATTTTTCAGGGGCTGATAATAACCCATCCCATTTGCACAGTAGCTCTGTGAAACCCTTTGAAAGGTACAGAGAGGATGGAACTGCTTCATACCATCCCACGCCAGCAAGCTGTTTCGCCTCCATAAAGGGGATGGCGGAGGATCGGAGAAAGACTTCGTGGCTCTTCTTTAATGAGTGTGAATCCGAAGTCTAAGATAAAGTCCCTTGTTCCCCTGCCTTCTAGGTCTTCCTGGCAGAGTTCAAGAAAACCAATCAGTTCTTTGCAATAAAAGCCTTAAAGAAAGACGTGGTTTTGATGGACGACGATGTGGAGTGTACAATGGTAGAGAAGCGAGTTCTCTCCTTGGCCTGGGAGCATCCGTTCTTAACGCACATGTTCTGCACGTTCCAGACCAAGGTAAGGCTTCCGCCCCGACACCCTTTCATCCGTATCTCACCCAGTAAAGCTGGGTGCCCCTGGCAGCCCTCATTTGGAGATGTGGGGTGCTCTCTCCATGTAGTTCTTCTCTACCTCTGAGTCCATCTTCCATCCATTTAAACAAGTTTCTTCTCCTCTACACACCATTAACATGTTAAATTTTTTTTAATGTACTTGGCTGGTAAAGGGCCTTCCTTTCCTTCTGAACTTGTCTATTCACCCGTTTTGCAAAGTTTGGTTTACTTACATACAAGGGTTCTAAGCAGCGTGTGACTTATGTAACAGCAGAGCTTTGTGGGGGGAGACAGGGTGTGGCAGCTGTCTGTTCGCCTACCATACGTGTACTTGAAGAGACAAAAGTTGGAAAAAAACAGATCAAGATGTGCGTGCACTGTTACTGTCCTTTTTAAGGACAGTAGGTCATCCTTCAGCGTTGGCTTTATCAGTGAGGTCCTGAGCAGTGAGGCAAAAGGGTGATTTTTGTCAGAAGTGTCTCTCCTGTTCTGGGAAGATTCTCCTCCTCAACGTTTTCCTTAAAATTTTTTTTAAAAAAATTTTTCTGACTTAAAAGTTATTTGGGATCATTTTACAAAATCTGGAAGGTACTTATATGCTCAGAGAACAAAAGCATATATAATTCTGCCATTTGGATATAATCACTATTAATACTTTGAAGTTTAGCCTTCTAGATTTTTCAGCCACTAGATTTTAAAAAATAAAAATAGCGACCCACTGTATGTACATATTGTTCCATAACTTGCATTTGTAACACTCTCTAGGTTTAAACACGTTAAGACAATGTGACTTATCTAATCAGAATGTTTCTAACTTTTTGTTCTGGTTTAAATAACACTGAAATGAACATCCTTGTAGATCAGCCCTCGTGGACGAGCTTTATGATTTTCTCTCTTTATTTCTCTGCTCTTCTTGATCCTGTCCCCATTGGGTGTAACTTAGAATAAATAAGTGGACCCACGTGGGACCACGTGGTTAAGGTCGAAAGAGGGTGAAGATTTTTTTCTCTTGTTCTGTTTCAAGCCTTGATGATAATGACCTACCTTAGTATGTGTACAAGTTACAGAGGACCTCTAGATGATCAACACACTAAACTAAAATAAAGAGAAACTGACTATGAAAAAGCACTCAGTGATCATATGTGTATTCAAAGCACTGTGAAAGGTACAGGAGCATCTAATATAGTTCCTAACCTGGAGAATTTCATACTCTGATAAAAGAGGCAAGAATGATCCTTCTAAAGGTGGTGAGTAATGTTAAACTGAGGAATGTAGGCTCTAAGCACCAGAGCTGAGAAAAACTAGAAATTAGAATTTGAATAGGCAGAAAGGGTCTTGGGCAAGAGGGGTGGAGGGGCTGCACCCAGGAGGCATTAAGGAGTAGAAGGATTAGGATAAACTGTTTTAAGAGGAAGTAGGCTTATGTTCTGCAGCAGGAAGGAGTTTGGAATTTCTGATAGCAAGGGTTCGAGAAATTCCCTGCTAGAAATTTCCTCCTGGAGATTAAAAGTCTCTGTTGCTCTGGGATGGTGCAGGTACGTCACCAAACAGCAAAGTCAGGAACTCGGCCCCACTCTCCTGCTCTGCGCCCTAGACCTGCTGTCCACTTTTCCTCTTGAAATATTGCGAGGCTTTTGTCAGAAGGCTAAATACACTTCAAACCAGGCTTCTAGGAGGCATTATATAATCCGGCTTCACTTGGCATCTTTCCCCACGGTTTTTGTACGTTTGTTTGTATGGTTGCATTTTACGGGGAAGGCTGCTCTGAATCCCGCTTCGCAGAAAACAGGGATATTTCCTCCTCTGCTTGTCAGTTACTGTCTCAGGCAGCGTTTGCTTTGTTCCTGCTACAGGAAATGCTCTTAAGGTCCCAAGCCTTTGTAACGCTTTACCAAAACCAGAGAAGCAGATGAGTGAGAACACGTGGCAGAGAATCTACACATCAAATCTAAAATGACTGTCTCACTCCTTAGATTTCAAAGAATTGAGTCCTTTTAGAAATAAGAGATGGTGGGGAGGCAAAGCTTGCATTACACTTTCTGAAGGACGCTGAGTTGTTTTGAGATGCCCTGATTTCTCATTCAGAACTTGTATGTAAGCAAATACCACAGGTGAGTGTAAAAAGCAGCCACTGACATGAATGATGATTCACTCCGAGTAATTCTCTAACGTAGTCAGTTGGGAAAGGGCCCTATTTATGGATTCTTTTATCTGCTTGCTTATTTTTTGCAATTTGGTTTAATTTATATAACAA